TTTTTCTCATTTAGTGCTCTGACTATATCATGCCAGTCCTTTCTGGCCTGCCAGGTCTCTGTGGATAGGTCTGTTGCCAGTCTAATGTTTCTACCATTATAGGTTACATATCTCTTCTCCCAAGCTGCTTTCAGGATTTTTTCTTTTTCTCTGAGACTCGTAAGTTTTACTATTAGATATCGGGGCGTTGACCTATTTTTATTGATTTTGAGAGGGGTTCTCTGTGCCTCCTGGATTTTGATGCCTGTTTCCTTCCCCACATTAGGGAAGTTCTCTGCTATAATTTGCTCCAATATACCTTCTGCCCCTCTCTCTCTCTCTTCTTCTTCTGGGATCCCAATTATTCTAATGTTGTTTTGCCTTATCGTATCGCTTATCTCTCGAATTCTGCCCTCGTGATCCTGCAGTTGTTTCTCTCTCTTTTTCTCAGCTTCTTTATTTTCCATCATTTCATCTTCTATATTGCTGATTCTCTCTTCTGCTTCATTTATCCTAGCAGTTAGAGCCCCCATTTTTTATTGCACCTCATTAATAGCCTTTTTGATTTCGACTTGGTTAGATTTTAGTTCTTTTATTTCTCCAGAAAGGGTTTCTCTAATAACTTCCATGCTTTTTTCAAGCCCAGCTAATATCTTTAAAGTCATGATTCTGAACTCTAGGTCCAACATCGCACTAATGTCCATATTGAGTAAGTCCCTGGCAGACAGTACTACCTCTTGTTCTTTTTGTTGAGGTGATTTTTTTCGTCTTGTCATTTTGTCCAGAGGAGAATAGATAAATGAGAGAACAAAATGCTAACAGATTAACAACGTCCCCAGAAAATATATTCTAATCAAATCAGAAAGGACCTGAAACCAGGGGAAAAGAAAGGGAAAGAAAATAAAAAGAAAGAGAAAAAAAAGAAAAAGATAAAAACAAACAAAAACAGAACAAAACAAAACAAAAAAAAACAGAATATGATCAAATAGGATCAGGCTGGTGCATAGATCAGTGCCACACACTAGATTTTGGGTGTATTTTGGTCTGTTAGAAGAAAGTGCCTCCTAAAATTTTCAAGAAAGAAAGAGTTAAATATGTACAAAATAAGAGTTGTTATGATGAAGGGATGGAATATGACTGTAAAGATGAAAATTATAAAAAATTATAAAAAAGGAATTGATAAGAAGATGTTTGAAAAAAGAAAGAAGAGGATTTAAAAAAGGAAAGAAAGAAAGAAAGAAAAAAAGGGGGGAGAGAATGTGATCAGGCAGGAGACTAGAACAAAGCCCTACAGTAGAGATTTAGGTTATATTTTGATACATTAGAAGAAACTGTATCTGAAAATTTTAAAGAGAGAACAACTTATATATATATGCCAAAAGTAAGGGTAACTACTATGAAGGGATAGAATATGACTCCAAAAATGAAAAATAATTTTTTAAAAAAAAAGGATTGATAAGATTTTGGTTGAAAAAGGGAAAAAGAAAAATTCAAAAAAAAAAGTTAAAAAAATTAACTTTGAAAGACTAATGAATCATGGTAAAAAAGCCATGAATTCTATTTGCAGTAGTCCCCTAACGCTGGAGTTCTCCTGTTCTCATTGATTGGTAAACTTGGTCTTGGCTGGCTGTTCATGCTGATCTTCTGGGGGAGGGGCCTGTTGCCGTGGTTCCCAAATGTCTTTGCCGGAGGCGGAATTGCCCCGCCCTTTCCTGGTCTGGGCTAAACAATCTCCTCGGGTTTGCTCTGGGGAGCTTTTGTTCCCTGCAAGCTTTCCATACACTGAGGGAGGACGACAGTGAAAATGGCGGCCTCCCATTCTCCGCCCCGGAGGAGCCAAGAACTTGGGGCCCCACTCCTCAGTGCACCCCAGAGAAAAGCAGTTAGTCACTCCCGTCTCCCTGGTCTCTGGCCGCACTCCGTGCTCACCCAGCCTGTGACGGAGCATTTCTGTCTCTGGCACCCGACCCCATGTGGAGTCTCCAAACCCAGCAGATCCCTGTGGTGCACTCCCACGCCGCTCCTCCCAGGGGAGGAAGGGGAGTCTCCCCAGCTCTGCCGCTTGTTGGGTCCCTGCTGGAGGAGCAGTGGCCCAACTGTGTCGCCGACCACAGTTTATGGCAACCCCACGGTGAGAGCCCATGCCTCGGCTCCATCTCTGCAGCCGGCTTCCCCGCTCTGATCCCCGGGAGCTCTGCCGCACTCAGGCACGCCTGGTCTTTCTGTGACCCCGAGGGTCCTGAGACCACACTGTCCCACGAGGGTTCCACCCCCAGCTTAGCCACTGGAGCGACATCCCTCAGTGGAGCCGACTTCTAAAATTTCCGATTTTGTGCTCCGCGGCTCTATCACTTGCCAGAAGTGGCCGATGGAGGCCCCCTCTCCCGCCATCTATCCTCCCGAATATTGCCTCGGATTCACTTCTCTGCACGTCCTACCTTCCAGAAAGTGGTCGCTTTTCTGTTCAGAGAGTTGTTGTTATTCTTTTCTTCGATCTCCTGTTGAGTTCGTAGGTGTTCAGAATGGTTTGATCACTATCCAGCTGAATTCCTGAGACCAGATGAAATCCAGGTCTCCTACTCCTCCGCCATCTTACTCCGCCCCCTGTTTGTGGATGTTTTTTCAGCTTTGTGGTTAATATCTATTTGACTTTATTTATTGAGCAATGTTTAATATTAAGGTGCATCAAGGGTGGTAGGAAGAATTTGCTTCTGTTATGATTTTTGTCAAAACAAACAAAATGTAACTCCACTAACACTGTATTCACCTCTCCTAAGACATGAAGTGGTGAATCACTGTCTAAAGAGATAAAATGAAGAGTTGTACATTTTGTTAACTTTCCTATCCCCATTATCTAGAATAGTAATTGGCACATGGTAGGGGCTTGCTAAGTCTTAGCTGAATAAATGAATGAATGAATGAATTTGGACAGAATGTGACCTCTTGTGAACAGATGTGGGAGACTGCTCCAGGAATCAATTAAAGTTGTGTGTACTATCTTTGGAGCCTAGAGTAATAAAGGATTTAATTTCCAAGAATAGTCAGGGTTTATAAATTGGTGGTCCATATTCCATGCTTGGACATATGTTGTCTGGCTTACCAGGTACTCTCTTTTGTCTTATAATAAATTCTTTGCCAACCCACACACGCACACACTCAGAAGATTTCACAAAAAAACGTTGGATTTCTAATATATTTTATAAGTAAAATACGTTGAAATGTGAGTTAAAATAAATTCTATCACTCTATTATGGTTTTGGTTGTGTTGTTGTTTGGGCCATGGATCAGTTCTTGGGTGATACCTGTTAAGTTGTAAGGGAGGTCCAGGAAGCCAGAGTGGACTGCAGTGGGCCCTCTGAAGGGTCTTTCATAGAAACAACATCAAGACCTATGGGGCTTGTTAGGCAGGTTTCAAAATTTTTATTCCACCAGTTTATTGAAGGACAGCTAGAGCTAGGTGACAGGCGCCGTGCATCACTAGAGAGACACTGATCATGATCAAGGCAATTGGAAAAGTGGAAACAGAGAGATGAGAAGTGTTGTGAGAATAAATATTGGGATGAGGATCCTGGGGCGGGGGTGGAGAATTTAGAGACATGGAGAAATTGGCAAGGATTGACAATGAAGATATAAAACCCAACAAAGATGAAGCATCCCTGGGGTCTATTTACTTCGTGGTTATCTCCATGGGTTGATGCACTAACTAACTATAAGGACTATATAAAGATAAATCAGGGGAAAAGTGATGGTATCACTTCTTCCTCTCTACCTCCTCCCTCTCCAGCATGTCTCATGGTTCAAAAGTTCTTAACGAGATTACTGGTCAGTGCAGTGACAAAAGTCATTTTAGAGTCTGAAGACAGAGATGTTTGGCATCATCAGATTGTAAGACCAGGTTAAATAAAGTATTATAGACTTAGCCTGGACCCAAATTCTGTTCATTTATTGGGTATGTGGTGGTTTCTGAGTGTTATTTAAACCCTTGGAAACTTGGTTTTCCTGTCTGGAAAATGGGGATGATGAGAGTGCCCATCTAATCATAGTATTAAATGCAAAGTGCCTGACATAGCATATAAAAAATGCTTTCCCTATTGAGCCCTCTATTTTACTTGATGTTACTATGGAAATTCAGAGAAAAGAAAAAGAAGGAGGTGGGGAGGAAGCCCCCATGGTAGTTGAATACTAACATATAAATGCAGGTTCATGGGAAATTTAAAATTATATGAACTTCCTCTTTTTTGGTAAAAATATATCATTTTACTATTTATGACCTCCAGCCATATGTTACAAGTGTAGGTTAAACATTTCTCTACCCTTCTCTTTTTTAAAAAAATTTATTTTATTTTATTTCAATTCAATTAATTAACATATTAACTTTCTGACTCCATCTTATATTAACTCTCTGATCTGTCTCTTGGGGAAAGACAAACCGAGCACTTGGGTTTTTCTGCAGAGATGTGTAACCTCTAGACTTTCTTCTCTGGACAGACCCTAAAGCCATGCTCAAGTAGGCAGTTGATAGGGAGGAATCCAGTTGCACTTGACATCCTCACAGAACGACAGATGACCTGACTTGCTATAGATGTCGGATGCTCATACAATCAGGTGATCTGTCCTTTCCCTATGAGTGTAGCCTCAAGTTAAGCCAAAGTTTGATGAGACAAATGCCAGTTAGGCTCATAGTCTCATTAGATGAAGCTAAGAATTCAGACTAACATCAACTTGCTGACCTTGTGAACACAAACTTTGCACTTGGTCACAATTATGTGATATTTTCACCCACCATCTTGTTTGTTTCTTAAATGAGATTATCCCCATTTCACAGATAAAACCACTGAGGCTCAGAGAAGTGAGAAAGTAGCCAGGCTGAGAATTCAACCCCCAAAAATGAGCTTTTCCCACCACAATGGTAAGCTGATACAGAAGACTTTCCTGGTTCTGTGCCCCTCAGCCCACTAGGAGCATGATGAGGCCAGTAAGGCCATTCCTGTCCTCACCTTCCATCATGGGTGACTCCTTACCTTCTCCATTTGAGTCCAGTAGTCTAGGACATCACTTGCAAAGTTAAATTCCTCAGGTACACTGTAGTCATTCCATCTCGGGGCTCCAACCCCTGATAAAGGCTGGCAGCGAAAGTACCCAGGGGCAAGGTGAAAGGGCTTGCGGATGCCCCAGAGGACCCGGAAACTCATCAGCCACTGCATGGTGGGCAGTCCTCAGGAAGCCGGCACAGAATTTTCTGTCTTGGGAAGAGATGACTGGTCATGGAACGATAATTTCCTCCATAAAAGGAAGCCAATAGCTTTGTTAGAGTAATAGCTTTGTTTCAGCTCACCAGAATTTGAAAGGCACAAGGCCCATCTGCATCTCTACCCTCTCTCTTGTTAATATCCTGTCCTGGGTTCTGTGAGCTAACAATTTTTCCCGCCTGAAATTGGGTTTCTGTCACTTGAGACTATCAGGATACTGACAAATATATCACCATACTCAGGACAGACCAGACTAATATCACAACACCTTCTCTAGGGGGTCTTTCCCAGGACAACATTCCAGTGCAGCTATTTCCCACCCATAAGAGCTGACCCATGAAATGAAACTTGTTTGCCACTCCAGATCCCAACAAAGACCCCTTTTACATGGGAGAAGAAACTTCACTTATTATTATTGAAGTCTGATTGTGAAAATTGGCTTAAGCTAGAACGATCTTTCCATGAGAATATTGACTGAAGAAAACCACTCCACAAATGGCTTTGAGATCCAATCACTTTACCACCAAAACCAATAAAGCCTCCTCCCTCTTGGTTTCAGCAATCACATAATACTGTTTGACAACAGACCACAGAATAGATCAATAAAACCTGACTCAGTTTACTTTCAGCCAGTTTAGACCAATAATAACCTAACCCCAATTTTGATGCTGCCCCCAGAACCCTACTTCACATTCCTAGCAGGGGGAGGGATTGCTAAATATGCAATTGAGTTAATGTTTGCAGAAAAGAGGATGGATATATGAAAAGTTCATCCCTTAGAGTTTGCTTGTCAGCACAGAATCTTGGACCACATGACTTAAAGTAATGTCTCCTTTTTAGTGCCTATCAATCAACTGTACCATCTTGTGTTTCATCAGGGCATTTTTGAGCAAGAAAGAGACACTAAGATCTCAGCTGGCCCAGATCTGGCCCTCAGACATATTCCTGTTGGCTTTCGGTCTTTGGAGGAAAAATTGAAATTGTCAACATTTAAACCTTGGGAAATCTCATTTAAAAGTCTTGATGGTCTCTCCTGCAAACATAGAAAGTCTGGCAATACTTGGCCTTTATTTCAAACTGGCACAAAATGGCTGGAGCTGAGAATTGTATGCTTCATTGAAAAGGAATGTTCTCCAATTTCACATGGTTACCCACCACTCCTTATTTTGTCACGCCTACTAGTTTCTCCACTTACTGTACCTGTCAAGCCTCTGGATATTTGAGCTTAAAATATTTGATTTAGACCAACAACCCGAAAGGGATTTCTCCAAGGTTTCAAGGCAAGTTTAGTCATAGAGCTGGTTCTAAAAGTCTGCCTTCCCTGTTCTTTTGTCTAACACATGCCTCCCTCCACAAGCATGAACTGATTCAGAGCAGGAATACAAGACTCACTTGCTATTTTAAGGCACAGGTAAATAAATGACCTCGGGATCTTCTTTAAAAGACCCAACGTCAGTGCAAACAACCCCTGAATAAGTGGCTAAAGACAAAAACCAAAGGGAGAGAAATACTGAAGAAATTAATTAGTCCTTTATTATGGGTTAATTTGCATCCCCTCAAAATTCATCTCTTGAAGTCCTAACCCCCAGTACTTCAGAATGTGACTGTATTTGGAGATAGAATCTTTGCAGAGGTGATTAAGTTAAAATGAGGTCATTAGATGGACCCTAATCCAATATGACCCGTGTCCTTGAGAAGAAGAGATTAGGGCACAGACACACGTAGGGGGGAAATGACATGTGAACATGAAAATAGCTATCCACAAGCCAAGGAGTGAAGTCTCAGGAGAAACCAACCCTGCAGATAGCTTGATCTCAGGCTTCTTGCCTTCAGGACTATGAGAAAATAAATTTCTGTTGTTTGAGCCCCCACCCCAGTCTGTGCTACTTTGTTATGGCAGCCCTAGCAAACTAATAACACCTCTTTTAACCAAATAAAAACAACTTTGGTATCATCTTATAAATGTGTTTGCAATTCTAACTTCATCTTCATCACATAATAGGACCAAATACAGTGCCCAGCTGAGGACTGTGGTAGCCGAGAGTGTGCCCTTAAGAGTCAAACATCATAGCTTCAAATTCCAGCCCCTTCCCCCACCACATATGTAAATGGACAATTTTCTAAACCTCTGTCTAAAATATGGAAATACTGGCAGCCCCTATTTCCTAAAGTTGTGGTGATGAATGAATGACATCCCTCATAAAGCATTTAGGCACAGACGCAGTACAGATGAGTGCTCCAGAAATGGGAGCTATTATTAGTTACCGCTCCCTCTGGGGAAACTCTCGCTTGCTTAATCTTTGGAATTCGAGTGTAAAGAGAAGAAACAGGAATAAATTAAAGAACAATCTTTTGAATTGCTTTATTTTTTAAAAGATTATTTATTTAATGAGAGAGAGAGAGAGAGAATGTGAGTGGGGGGAGGGGCAGGGGGAGAAGGAGAGAAATCCTCAAGCAGACTCCCCGATAAGCATGCTTCATCCCAGGACCCTGAGATTATGATCTGAGCTGAAATCAAGAGTCGGACACCCAGCCCTGAGTGAGCCACCCAGGCGCCCCTAGAGTGCTTTAAAGTGCATTCTGAGGTCAGTTTGGCATTGTGGCTTTGAGAGTTGGCTAGGCTCAGCATTTTTTGCCCAGGTACACAGTGCCTTGAAGAGTTCCTGCAACAGAGCTCTAATTTCACAAGTCTTTGGACTGAAAAAGCTAAGTATTTTATGAGGCAACATACTTAGTGTGGTATAGGGGATCCTGGAGTTACATAGCCAAGTTTGGTTCTGCTGCCTACAGTCTGAGTGATCTTGGCCACTGTTTATGTCTCTGAACCTGAAGACACACTAGTAATATCTACCACCTGACATCCCACAGGATTAGTGAGATAATCTGTATAAATTACATTGCCAGCTATTGTGTCTAATATACAATAAGGACTCAATAAATATTGAAATGCTCCCTAACTCCCAGCAAATTCTGAAGCCAAACCCCCCAAGTTAGATACTTAAAAAAAAATTTTTTTTTTAAATGAAAGGCATTCACTTATATAATATGAACCAACTTCTGCAGAGTGGAATTTTCTTTCAAGTGTTCATTTTCTGGGTCTTCCTACTCTCCTCTGTACCCTCCTGCATAGTCCACCATACTCAGAGCCGCCTAACATTAAACAGATCACCCTCTATATGCCAGCCACTGTGCCAGGCATATCACACATATATTCTCATTTATCCTTCTCATTCAGTATCACCATCCTCTATTTGCATTAAGGAAACAAAGTGTCAAAGAAGTTAAGAGCCTTGCCCAAAGTCAACCAACCGATAAGCGACATTGTCAGAACCTGAAATTAGGCCTTTGGATTTTAAATTCAGGGCTCTGTAAATATTTTACTGCCCTGTGATAGACACACACACACACACACACACACACCTCACAAAGAAGTTTTCATTTACCTGCCTTACCTGGCAGTGTCTAGAAAACAGCTGGGCTTTGTCTTGGACTGGTATAGAAATGGGGACTTTACATATTCACTTCTCTCTGATCAGTAAAGTTCCCAGAAGTACACACACAAAAAGGACTGCCCATCTCTGGGGCGGAGAACCTGGCAGGAATCTGACGATTCTGAAGTGGGAGGAGATGCTCAGAACAGTACGGAAAGCAATCCCAGCCCTCCACTGGAGAGATAATGGGTTGGAAAAATAAACTATATGAAGTCATTCCAGTTCTTGTGGGACGGCTTGTGGTGTGAAGGAACAAAGTCAAATGGCGAATTCTCACTAACTCTGGAGCTAACCTGCTTTCTTTCCCAGCCCCATACCTCCAGGGCTCACATTTAAATGACAGCCAAGTGGCAATGTTGTCTAGTAGTCAACATCTGTGCTCTGGAAGCAGAAAGGTCTGGGTTTAAGTCTCCAGTCTGCCACCTACCATCTCTTTGACTTTCATTGACCTCCTTTCTCTACCCTCGTTTCCTTATATGTAAAATGGGAAAGATAATAGTGACAACTTCTGGTTGTCTCTTATGGTTGTCTTGTTGTTATTGCATTGCTAGGATTAGATGGAATAATTCATGACGAGCACATAGCACAGTGCTTGGCCTAATCTATATTGACTGTTTTTATTAACTGGGGATTTGGAGAGAAACAGTTCAGTGTACTAACAAAATGCAAGGTCTTTGGAATCCCAAGGTCTTGGGCTTAAATCCAGGCTCAACCATTTACAAGATGGCCGATGGACAAGCCGTTGGCCTCTTCTAACAAAACAGAGGAGTGTGGTTGTTAATAAGATTTGTTCCTTTGGATCCTTGAAAGAACAGCACCAGGTCAAGTCTGCACAACGTTTGGCTCAGACATGTAGACGCTTGGGTTGATGTTGATGTTGCATTGATAAGCCTGGATTGCTGCATGAAGTGGCTTATATTGTAGTCTACTAGAGCCATTTTGGGGGTGTTGCTGGGGGATGGGGATCTCCAGGACCCTGGCCCAACTATCACAGGAACTTTTCCTTCCCACCCTCTAATGAAGCAGGGACAAAAGTACCACAATGTATTAAGGAGGGCACATATTGCATAGAGCACTGGGTGTTATATGCAAACAATGAACCCTGGAACACTACATCAGAAACTAATTATGACTAACATAACATAATGGTGACTAACATAACATAATAAAAAAAAAAAAAAGATTGCTGGAGACACCTAGAACATCCCTGCTGGATTTGAGAGCAAGCCTGTCTTCTGAGAGGTGGGTTGTCCTTCTCCAGGCCAATTCATTCATAATCAATTTTCAGCTCAAGACAGACTTTTTAAGGAGAGGGGTGAGAAAGCAGTGGTAAGTTGACTGGCCACAGTAAGTAAAGATTAAACAGCCAAAGTATCAAAGACCCTGATACTCAAGCAGAAGAGGCAGTCACTTTTAGGAAGAAAATGGGGACAGAAAGGAAAGTCTATGAGACACTCTGGATCTCAGTGGATCTCCCATGTGGAACTGTAACTCTGGTGTTGTGGGCATAGAAGACCGGCTCTGGGCCAGGCAGCCTGGTTCAGTCTAGCTTTCACCAGTTACCAGCTCTGTGACATTGAGCAGGTTTCTTAGCCCCTTGTGCCTTGGTTTGCTCATCTGTAACAATGGGTCTATGGTAGAGATAGTGGAATTCTCTGAAGAATCCATTCACACTTCTCTTTTCATTTCAAAGCCTCTCTTGTAGTCAGAATGAGGTCACTGAATTCCAGGTCTGGATAATGAACACTAGGCAGACATGAGTCACATCAGGTCTAGGGCATTTAAGAGCAGTTATGAGTTCTCTATACTCTCTTCCCCTGACTCAGTAGTCCTGGAAACTCTGTATGGAGATAGTAACATCAAAATATGGCAAAGACACTATCAGCCTCATTCTCTGTTGTATTGTATGGATGGAGGTTTCTGTGATTTGTCCTGACTGACCACCTGCAACTTCATGTACCCATGAGGGCTAAAGAATATTGTTTTGTGAGACTCCCGTGCTGCATAAGTGACCTTGGGAGCCTAGTTAGTTATTAGAAGGCTTCCAGGTCAGAATTGGCCCTTCTGTTCTGGACTGTAAGAGCTATATTTTGCCTTGCATCTCTTCTGGCTCCAGGCTGGGCTGCCCCCTCCCCAGAATGGAATCTAGAGGGGAGGGGAGGTAAACACATCCAGCCCAGGCTCCTTGAATATGTAAAGACATGATAACATAGGAATTCAGCTCACTCCAAACTGCACATAGGCAGACAAACGTTTCACTTCAGAACCCGCCATTTGCCCTATAAATATGGCCCTTATGGAGATGGTCAGCTGGAAATCTCAGCTGAGGGGAGGACGCTCCACCCAGGCCTCTCAATCGGGACTCCAGCCTGTCTCCACCGGGCTTCCCCAGCTAATGAGGTTGGATATTTTAAGTACCCAATTTGATGTAAGTTTGTCTTATTCTTTTTTTTTTAAGATTTTATTTATTTATTTGAGAGAGAAAGAGCACACTCGAGCACAAGGCGGGGAGGAACAGAGGGAGAGAGAGAAGCAGGCTCTCCCCTGAGCAAGGAGCCCAATGCAGGACTTGATTCCAGGACCTGAGATCATGACCTGAACCAAAGGCAGACACTTAACCAACTGAGCCACCCAGGCACCCCACGATCCACTTCTTTTCAGAGTACCCAGACCATGGAGGGAGATGGGAGATGGAATGATAACCACCAGCAGATAGAAAAGAATGACCAAAAAAAGACTGCATCAAAAAGCTTGATCTTAGTTTTGTAAATAGCCCTGCTCTTCTGAGCACATGCCCCCTTCCTGCTCACTCCTCCCCTTTATCCCTCCTTCGGTGACAGACTGGCTCTATTGGCCTACTGAAGGTTTGGTTAAAGGTAACTAACATAAAATAATTAAATTAAATTAAATTAAAAAAGCAAAGTTAAGAGCGGAGTTCTCACAGCTGATTTGCTGTGCCCAGGCTGACTGCACCTTTGACTACAGCTGATTCTCTTGGCCCCCACTCCGCCCCTCACACTGCACCTCTCAAGCATGAATCTCTTCCTAGAGCTTGGTGTGAACCCAGCGAGGTGCCTCCGTGGGCCTTAACCCCCCGGGGATCTCTACTGCACCCGTGTGGTGATGTTGGAGCATGACCGGTTCCTGGTGGGCGGGTCCCGGCAACAACGGAACTAGGACTCACTCGGGTGCCTTCCACTCTCAAAGTTGGCCCCTTTCTGCTAACCATCAGTTTGTGCACTATACTTAAGAGTCTGTTTCTTGGGGGCTGGGGCGGAGGGTGGGGGGATGCGTGAAATAGGTGATGGGGAATAAGGAGCGCACTTGTGATGAGCACCAGGTGCTGTGTGTAAATGCTGAATCACTGAATTATACATCTGCAGCTACTATCACAGTGTATGTTAACCAACTGGAATTTATTTTATTTTATTTTATTTTATTTTTTAGAGCGGGGTGTAGGTTCAGAAGGAGAAAGAGAGATTCCCAAGCCGACTCCCCGCTGAGCGCGGAGCCTTTTGCAGGGCTCGATTTCCACAACCCTGAGATCATGACCTGAGCTGAAATCGCGTGGGCCGCTTAAAGCCAGCCAGGCGCCCCATTAACTAAATGGAATTTAAATTAAAACTTTAAAAAGTATATTCCTTAGGTAAGATGGCGGAGGAGTAGGAGACCTAGATTTCGTCTGGTCTCAGGAATTCAGCTGAATAGGGATCAAACCATTCTGAACACCTACGAACTCAACAGGAGATTGAACAGAAGAGTAGCAACAACTCTCTGAACAGAGAAGCGACCACTTACTGGAAGGTAGGGCGTGCGGAGAAGTGAATCCGAGGCGATATTCGGGAGGATAGACGGCGGGGGAGGGGGCCTCCGTGGGCCGCTTCTGGCAAGTGATAGAGCCGCGGAACACAAAATCGGACCTTTTAGAAGTTGGCTCGGCGGAGGGAAGTCGCTGCAGAGGCTAAGCGGGGGGTGGAATCCTCCCAGGACAGTGTGGTCTCAGGACCCTTGGGGTCACAGAGAGACCGGGGGTGCCTGAGTGCGGCAGAGCTCCCAGGTATCGGAGTGGGGAAGCCGGCTGCAGAGACGGAGCAGAGTCACGGGCTCTCAGCTCGGGGTTGCCATAAACTGTGATCTGCGGCCCAGTCGGGGCACGGCTCCCCCAGCAGGCACTCAACAATCAGCAGATCCGGGGAGACTCCCCTTCCTTCCCGGGGAGGAGCGGTGCGGGAATGCACTGCAGGGATCTGCTGGGTTTGGAGACTTCACACGGGGTCGGGTGCCAGAGATAGCAACGCTCGATCACAGACCGGGTGAGCACGGAGTGCGGCCAGAGACCGGGGACACGGAAGTGACTGCTTTTCTCTGGGGGCACACTGAAGAGCGGGGCCCCGAGTTCTCAGCTCCTCCGGGTGGAGATTGGGAGGCCACCATTTCTGCCCTTGAACTCCAAAGCTGTACCGAGAGCTTGCAGGGAACAAAAGCTCCTGAGAGCAAACCGGAGCAGCTAACTTAGCCGGGACCGACAAGGGCGGGGCCATTCCGCCTCCGGCAAAGACATTTGGAAACCACAGCAACAGGCCCCTCCCCCAGAAGATCAGCACAAACAGCCAGCAAGCCAAGACCAAGTTGATCGATCAAGGAGAATGGGAGAACTCCAGCGCTAGGGGAATACTGCACATAGATTCATGGCTTTTTTTTTTTTTTTACCATGAT